TTATCATCATCATCATTAATATTTACAGTAACAACAATAATACAGCACCTACAACCTTCCAGGAAATGTGCAATGGGTTTCACATATCATCTGATTTGATTCTCACAACCTAGAATGGGGGGAGGAGCACATGACCAGTTGTATTCCTCATATTACATGTAAAGAAACCAAGTCAAACTGTCAAACTGAGATTAACTGAATTCTCACAGTAAGGAACTGTCTGAACACCTATTTGAACTCAAGTTGTCTGCCCTCCAGTCTTGGTATTCTATCATTTTTTTTTAATTCCTCCACTTAAATCTGATTATGTTGACTTAATTAAAAAATTAATAAATATGAATGTCTGAATCTGTTGGGTCCATACAGTCTGTGTCATTTTGACAAGTCAGTTCTCGTTTTTGAATCTAAAGGGCATCAAGTATAAAATTGGGGGGGGGGGCTATACTTACAGAAATTAAATAATTTTTTGTAAGGCAATACTTTAACAATTAAAAACTCACATGATGAATGATCTATAAGATATGGAATTGTAAGATCATAGAGATTTAAGGTGAGTTTCTATGGAAACTTTGTTTAATTTGTTATTAAATTGTTTAAACAAATTAAATTTGTTTCAATCACTACAGATATCTTAGAGCACTGACATGAGCAAATGATGTCATTCAAGTTAGATATTTCAGTGATTTTAAGTTCTTCTATTGGCCCAAAGCCTAACTTATAGACAAAAAGTTTGCTCCTGGTGATGATATTAAGGAATAAAATAGTGGATCATTATAATTGCAGATTTAAAATTACATGTGACTCAAAGAAATTAAAAATATTTTACATACAGAGTGTAAGTGGCTGGTAGCAAATAATAAAAAAAAAGGTCATGCATAAAATAAGCCTCATAGAAAAGATGTCATCTAAGAATGGATAACTAAAACATAAAGGTGGGCCTTTAAGTAACAAGAGCTCTGATGCTGACCTGCTCTCCTCTGAATATTAGAACACCACGAGGAAAACGATTACCAGGTTGGGGACAGATTCTCAGGAATGTTTCTGATAGGACATGGACATGTATCTCATACATACTTCTTTAATTTTAATATGACTCAAAGCAAGATGGAACAGCATGTACCCTGAAAAATACTCAGATTTAAAACTGAATTCAATGATTCTGCTTTATCTGATTTCAAAAGAGAAATTTAACAGGTATACATCCATCAATGGGAACTTTAAGCAATTTCTATATACCAGGCACTAGTACATAGCAAGGGCAGTTTTGCACTCAATAAACTTATATTTTAATTGGTGCAACTGAAACAACCACAGATAAGTAACTCATCTGATTCATACAATTCAAAATACATTTATGGAGTATCTACTGTGTGTAAGGGTACAGTCTAAGCATGGTGTACATAAAGACAAAAATGAAAAATTGTTTCTACTTTCAAGGAACATACATTTTACTCAAGGATAATATTCAAAATATCATAGAGAAAAAAGATAGAAAGAGGGATAGATATAGATATAAACATAGATGTAGATATATATTCAGCTTGATGATGAAGATATAAATTAAATGAATAAAATAATTATTAATTTATACTAATGCTACCCAGAGGAGGAGTATGGGAAGAAAACAGAGAATGAGTCACTAGAGTTAAATAAATTGTTCCAGAATAGAGAGAGACAGAATTGAAGTACTCATTCTCTGAATTTAAATAAAACAAAAACAAAAACAAACAAACAAATGAACAAAAAAACTTCTTTACTCTCTACTCTGTTATCTTTTCAGGAGAAAACAAGATTTATATTTCTTGTGGAGCAAGTACTTTGGGTCTTGGTTTTTCAAACATATTTTATTCAATTTGAATTTGCTTTTACAAGCTAACTCCTGGTTCAGGCTTGGTTTCAGCAATTCTATGCCTCTTTATAGAGTACAATGTGTTTTAGGCATTTCTGAAGATAAAGGACTATGAATAGTTTCTTAAAATTCACTTATTAATGTTGATATGCAAGTGAACATCTGGTAGCTTGATATCTTATGAAGCTAGCTGGCAGGAAATACATTCATCACAATTTACTGCACTGGGACTCAGAGGCAGTGCAGGCACAAAAAGGATTGTCTTGGGCCACCCCTAACAGTTTTGAGGAGAGAGGATTGTTAAATTTTCAGTGAGAAAATATACACCTCAGAAATTAGCAATTATATGAGAGTTTGATTTATGGTTTTGCTCATTTTTAGGCTTAAAAAAGTATTAATATTGAAGATTAAATTTAAAAGTGTATGCATATTTTTTTTCCTTCCCAGAAACTCACTTACACATTTGCTGTCATATCTCTGTAATACTTTAAAACTGCTGTTGAGCTTTGTAGGACTGCCATAGAAGGCTGAAGGAATGAAGTCATTTCCAGACTGGAGACTTGTGACTGGAAGCTAACCATCATCATCACCATCATCATCATTGTCATCATCATCATCATCATCCCTTTCCTGTCCCTTCCTTAGCTTCCCTTCCCTTTTCAGATTACCTTCCAATTCTTATCTATATCTCCTATATACCAAAGTATTTACATATCATCTCACCAATGAGAATGTGAGCTCCTTGAGTTTTAAAATTATCTTTTTGCATTCTTTTGTATCCTCAGGTATTAGCTTGATATATCATACAAGGGTCTTCTTGAAAGCTTCCTAATACTGTTCTGAAAGGCTGTTATTGACATCCAGTGTAAGCCACAGAGGGTCCAACACTGCCTTAGTTTCAGTGAAAATCAATACAATTCAGTATCTTTCTTTCCTCTAAAGCTAAATAAAAGCTTTACAAGGAGAGAATGTTTCTTCACAAATGGACCCAACTCCATAGAAATCTAGAAACTCTTGCCATTTTTCAGGGCCCTTCTATGACTTCCTAAATACTAATTATTCTTTTCATTGTTTTAAGTTTAGTAAGGTTCCAATAGACTCTTTTTTTTCATTCCAAACAGGTTTTGTCTGTCAGTAAAGGTTTGACCAAAATAGATCTTATCTGCCAAAAGAAGGAAAGAGATAAGTCTTAACTGTACCTCAAAATGCAAGGAACTCCACAGTCTCTAGATATAGCAATGCATGGAATCCAATGAAACCAAACAAGTCCTGAGGTAATACCATTCTTCTCACTCAATTTTTTTACATTCTGAGTAAAGTTTTTCATTTGTAGCAACTGGAGTTAATCATTGATTCACCAGCACAAATTGAAAAAAAAAAGACTCCTGGGACATAATAAGTCCTTAATAATTGCTTGTGGACTATGATGGAATCTGTACTCATTAATTGATTTTACCTACATACAATGGATCCAAAAAGTGAAACTCAGAAATGCAGGAAAATTTGAAAGAGGTTAGGTTTGAACCCAAATCCTGCTGACTCAGTTTCCAGTTCCCTATCACAAACTCATGCAAGCTCTAATGTGAACCTAAAGAGATGACTCAGTGTATCGTGGGGTGGGGAGCAGTGGAAACAATTACTTTTTTTTTAAAGTACTAGAAGGGGTGGGAAGAGATATAAAAGGGGTTAAATTTCTTCTATTTTTTTCCCCTAAGAGGCTGCCCTTGGAGTGAGAGATGGAAATCATATTTAGACAAATGTAGGTTTTATGTCAGGGAAAAAAAAAACCCAAAAAGCAGGGACAATTTCTCACCATTACTGCTTCCTAGTAAGGAAATGGGATGATTCCAGGGTGACCATTCCCTCTATTCCCTTAACATTTGAAGAAGAAGCTTTTTCATCATGTGTTGAGCCTTCTAAAGCAGGGAAACAAATCACACCATAACTTGGCAAGCATTTCTTAGCGTCCAAGTACATTCAAAGGGCTACACATTTGTCTAGGGTTGCAAATGTTAAACTTAGACTGTCTATGGCAATGATCTGAAAATACCAGTATGCCAACCAATCTGTCAGTCATAAAGAATATATTAAGCACTCCATTTGTTCCAGACACTGTTCTCTGAATACAAATATAAGGAGAAAAAGATAGTACCTACCATTGAGGACCTAACATTCTAACAGGGGAAGTTAACCCATAAAAGGGAACTGAAAAGTGGAGGGGGAGTACCCAGTCATACATAAGCACATTTTCACAATGGCAAAGAATTAGAAATAAAGTATATCCATTTGATTAGAAAATGACTACAAATTATGGCACAAGAATTGAATATGCAATGGGATAGTACTATACTCTAAGAAATAAGAAATATGAAGAATTCAGAAAATCATGGGAACACTTACGAATGAAGTGAAGATAAGAGAAAAACAATATTCACAGTCACTTTGACAATATACACAGAAAGATGATATTAAAAACACAGTGGAAATAAAGAACAGTGTATAATTGTAATGCCTGAGTCTAACCCCAGAGAGAAAATGAGGAAATGAACTTCTTTCTCTTCTCTGCAGAGGCACAACTAGGGGTAGGTGGGGAATACAATAGATAAAACACTGGACTTAAATCAGCAAGATATCTGTTTGAATTTTTTTGTTTCAGACAATGACTATCTGTGGGACCCTGTGAGAGTCAGGTATACACTATATTTGCCTAAATTCCCTTGTTTATAAAGGGAGGATATTAAGTGCACTTACTTCAGAGGGATGTTGTGAAGACACAATGTGGTGATATTTGTAAAGTGCTTTGAGAAACTATATCTAAAGCATTTTGCAAACCTTGATGGGCTATAACAATATTAATTATAATCATTCTCATAGATGGATGACTATGGATATAGAATATTCTACATTTCTTCAGGCTTAGCTAATATTTGGGCTTGTCATGTCCACTATAACCTCTCTCAATGATTTATTGGGAAAAAAATTGGCCTAGGAAAATTCAGTATGGAAATTTATGAAAAGATTGTGATTTTTGCTAGTTAAAGGGGTATGTGCACTAATTAAAATATTACTCTATCAAAACATTTGTATCTTTATGTTTCACTTGTATGATTTTCAATTAGTAAGCTGACTTTTCCTGAAGAGTCAAAGGCATTCATCTGATCCAGAGTTTCTTTATGGCATTTTTAACCTCTGTGTTCCTAAGGGTATAGATCAAGGGGTTTAACATAGGAGTAATCATAGTAAAACATACAGCTACAGCTTTATCTATAGGAAAAGTGGCTACTGGCCTCACATATAAGAATATACAGGGGGCAAAAAACAAGACCACCACTGTGAAGTGAGAGCTGCAGGTGGAAATGGCCTTTCTCCTTCCTTCTGAACTGCCACCCTTCAGAGAAGAGAGGATAACAACATAAGAGACAACTAGTATGAGAAATATTGACAAGCACATTACTCCACTATTAGCAATGACTAACAGGCCAAGAATGTGGGTGTCCATGCAGGCCAGTTTCAGCAATGGGAACAAATCACACATAAAGTGATCAATAACATTAGGGCCACAGAAAGGAAGATTGGCTATGAAGAGGAGTTGTATGGTGGCATGTACTGAGCCCCCTATACAGGCTGCTGCCATCAGCAGGTGGCACACACGAGGATTCATGATGATCATGTAGTGCAGTGGTCTGCAGATGGCCACATAGCGATCATAAGCCATGACCACAAGGAGGATAATTCCAACACCACCAAAAAAATGCTCTGCAAAGAGTTGGGTCAGACAGCCTTCCAAAGAGATGGTTGTCTTCTCATAGAGTAAATCCACAACCATCTTTGGAGCAATCACTGAAGAGTAGGTAGCATCCATGATGGACAAGAAGGTTAGAAAAAAGTACATGGGTGATCTCAAAGTTTGGCTGGCTGTCATGGTTAAAACAATGAGCAGATTCCCCATGACAGTGATAACATATATGATTAAAAAAATGACAAAGAAAATTTTTCTAAGCTCTGGACTTTGTGTGAGGCCTAGCAGAATGAATTTAGTCACATTGTTTTTATTTTCCATTTTGATTATTTCTCTGTCAATTTCTTGATTAGTTCATATTCTCATCTGTTTTTTGTTTTGTTTTGTTTTGTTTTTTCCCTTTTCTCTCTCTTTCTTCCTTATTTTCAGTTGATTTAGCACTGGGATTGAGGGAAGGATGACCAGAATTCAAATTTTTCTCCAGACACTTAGTTCAATGAACCTGGGTAATCATTTAAATTCTTTCACTCTCAGTTTCCTCATCTGTAAAATAAGGATAATATAATCATATTCTTTAGGGAGTTGTTGTGAGAAACAAATGAAATATTCTATATGAAGTGCTTTGTGAATATTTTAAAGTACAATATATCAACTAATTATTATTACTCTTCATAAAAAATCCAATTGAATGATTCCAAATTTCAGACACTTTTCAATCTTCAGCATGAACTGGATTTCTTTCAGGGAAAAAATGCACTGCATGAATAATAGAAATTGGCATCATCATGTTTAAAGAGTAGAGTTTATTTTCTTTGATGTTAACAAGGAACTGATTTGGAAGTCCAACGGAGTGAAAAATGAAAAACCAGCACACCTGTTGAAAAATATAATACAACAGATCATTTATGTCATTATCATTTATGTACAATTTTAAAATATTTTATACTAAAAGCAAATAATTTAAATTTTCACATAATTGTGGATATAAGAAAGCATTATTCCTAAAGGCCCATTGGAAGGAAGGGAATAAGATTAGACCAAAGTCAGTGAGAGGCAGCAAGTAGTATTTGTTCCTACTTTTAGCACATTTCCTGCACATTTCCTCCACATTTCTGAGAATATCCCTTTATCTATGCAACATTTTACAACCATCAGCTGTTAGTGGGGAATTAGTGGGGGTTTTCTTCATTGGGAGTGTCCTGAAACCAATGAAATTACAGGTTTGGTTAAAAAACCCTGAAATTATTTTTTTTAAACCTGATATTTATATAACACATTAAGGTCTCAAAGTTCTTTTCATTCATAACTTCCCTAGGGTAACAAAACAATCATTCAAGCTTGGTTCAAGGGCCTTCAACCCCCATTTCGTAAGTGGGAAAAGTACTGTTTAAACACTGAAAAGTCTTGCCATTGGTCACAGAGCTGTGACCTTTCTCAACCTGCACCCTTCTTTTGCTTCTCATTTTTTTTGTTGTTTTAAGATTTGCAACCATACTTATGTTAGCTAATTTGATCCTCCTAATAACCTTGTTATTTGCTATTGATATCCTCATTATTGCAGTTCCCCCCCACCCATACATTCTACCATTCAGCCATAAAGGCCTCCTTTTTTTGGCCTAGTAAATGGCACTTCATCTTCCATTGATGTGCCTTAATTTTTGCTCATTATAACCTTTTTTCTCTCCTTCCCCCCATATCTATTCAATGTCAGCCACAGAATATTAATCATCAGTCTTCAGAATGTTGCCACATTTCCTTCCTACAACTAAGAAAGGCTTAGGAAATGATTGGGACACAAGAAAGAGAAGAAAGAGAGATTTTGGAGTTTTACTTTAATCTGTCTGATCCATTTTCATAATTTATGATCTAGAATAAACAGTTTTTGTCCAAACCTATATTACTCATCCCTGATCTTTGCCAATCCTTCATCACTATAATAGGCATAAATGTGGAAACTAGTCAAGGAGCAGTAAATGGAAAAAATAAATAGATAAATTCAGTATGACAAAAAAAAAATCCATGAGACTAAATAGAATAGATAATAACAGTTGATCTTCAGAGAGAAAACAAAAATTGATTTTCAGTGTAAATAACTTATTTTGTATCTCCAGTCTTGGCATAGTGTCTGAAATATAAGCAGAACTTAATAAATACTAGTTGATCATTGATTGACAAAGGAAGAAGCAATGGTAATACTCCTTCACCAAGATGTGTCCAACACACCCAGGCATTCCTTTCCACCTGCTTTCTTTCACTTTCTTGCTTTATTCTTTTTCTCTTTCCTTTTTCTATTTCTCTTTCCTTCCTTACTTCCCTTCTTCCCTCTCTCCTTCTTTCCTTTCTTCTTTCCTTCCTCTCTCCTTCCTCTCTCTTTCCTCATTCCCTTTCTCCCTCCCTCTCTCCTTAACTCCCTCCCTCCTCCTCCTCCTCTTCCTCCTCCTTCTCTTCCTCCTCCTCCTTCTTCTTCTTCATATGTCTCATTGTACTTAAGTTTCAGTATCACCTCTTCTTAATTTTCCCTCTATAGTAAACCAGTTCATCTACACTAAATGCTAGAATTTTTTACCCTCTTCTCCTGTTGCCACTCATGCCTTGACAAACCTGAACTCTAATTATTTCACACAACTTCCTTTTCAGTTTTTAAAAATAATTTTAAATGATGAAGGACATCATTACATCCCTACTAGATTTTTTTTATCACATTTCATCAAGGTTTTTACTATTGAAAGACAATGATTACTCTTCTGTAATTGATTTTTTTTAATTCACTATGGAGGTTATAGAAAACAATTTCTTCTCCCTTTAATGAAAATAATTACTAGTTAATATTAATAAAGAATGTTAAAATTTGCAAAACACTATACATATGCTATCTCATTTGAGCTTTATGATAACCTTGTTAAATAGTTGCTATTAATATCTGTACTTTTTCCAGATGAAAAGTCTAAGATGTCAGAATCTAAGGAGAATGATGAGGATCACATAGATGGTAAGTGGCTAAGTCAGATTTGAACTTAAATCTTCCTGACTCCAAATCATATTCTCTATGAGCTATACCATCTAGGTAGCTCAAAACTATCTGCCATCATCGTTACTTCATCTCTCTCTTTAAAAAGATTACAATAGTTAATACTTTAAAAAAATAAAAGAAATCTATTTTCACCTCTCTCTTCCCCCTTACTCTAAATCTCTAATTCTCTCAACTTTGCTTCCCATTATTTTCTCTTTTGTTCCAGCTTCTGAAGAAGAGGAGAATCATTTGGCCACTAAGGCCAAAATCTCTACTTGTGGTCTTAATTTCATGGCCTCCTATCTTGTCAAAAAGCTTGATCCTGGGGGCAGGTAGGTGGTGCAGAGGACAGAGATCCAGCCTTGGAGTCAGGAGGACCTGAGTTCAAATCTGGCCTCAGACACATAACACTTACTAGCTGTGTGACCCTGGGCAAGTAACTTAGCCCCATTGCCTAGCAAAAAAAAAAAAATAAATAAAAAAAACTTGATCCTGAAACAACATATCTTAATACAATTTTAAAACTCCATCCGTGCACTGGTTCCTTCTTTGTTGCCTACAGTGACACCCAAATATTCTCATATTTGAAGAAAAAATTCACTTGATCCTGCCATTCTTTCAATTTGTGACCCTGTGTCTCCTCACTTTATCAGTCAAAGTCCTACAAAAATTTATCTACATTTTTTCCTCCTTTTCCTCCTCTCACTCACCTAAAATCCTTGGTAGTCTGTATTCTGACCTTATCACTCAGTTGAATCTTTCTTGCCAAAGTTACAAAATATCTTTAACGATATAGCCTAGACTTCTCCACTTTAATTTTGGTGATATGGCTTTCTTGATGCTTCTCTAAGAACTATCCAATCTCCTTTGCAGGATCATAACAAATATCTCAACCTCTAATATGTTGATCACTTCTGAATATGCATATGTATAAGTATATACATACATGTGTGTGTGACAAGAGACAGAGACAGAGTGAGAGATAGAGAGAAAGAGACAGAGATAGAGTAAAATGAAGCCTTGTGTTTTTGCATTTACTGTTATTTTCTTGAATTATCTCTTCTATTTCTGAGAAGAATGATTAAAACAGGTAAGCAGGAAAAGTTGGGACCCAGGGATAATCCACAAAACTGAGGTATATAAAATTGAATTAAAAGGGTACTGACAACTAGAGGGATCAGAATAGTCCTGTTTTAGGGAGCAACACTTCACCTAATCCTTAAAGCAAACCAGGGATTACAATTACAAAGGGAAGTGGTTGTGCTGGAGTTGAGGAAGAAACTGTAGCTCTATGTTTGTGTGTTTGTGTGTGTGTGTGTGAATAACTGTGTGTACATGTGTGTATGCATTACATGCATATGTGTTTCACCTATACAGACATCAAACTAAATACTGTATTGTGAAGTATGTATGTATGCATATATGTATGTATGTTTATACCTCTCTTTTTTAATTTATTTTTTAGGCAATTGCGGTTAAGTGACTTGTTCAGGGTCACATAGATAGTAAGTGTTAAGTGTTTGGTCTGAGGTAGGATTTGAACTCAGGACCTCCTGATTTCAGGGCTGGTGCTCTATCCACTGCACACCTAGCTGCCCTACACCTCTCTCTTTTGAGCTCTAGTTCCACACATCACCATTTTCTATTAGGACTTAAAGTTGGATGTCCCATGGAAATCTCAAACTTAACATATCCAAAATAAAGTACATTAAGATATTATCTTTCCTCTAAAGGCTGTCGAGTAAAGTTTGACAAAAAGATAAAGTGAGGCAAATCTCCAAGCAAGATAAAATATATTTTGAGAGGCATCCTTCCTGTCAATAAATGGTTCAATACCTTGTCTCCATTTATGCCAAAGACCCCAAGCAAAAAGTCAGCTTTTATACATTTTGGGGAATACAGAACAAAGATTAGAGTAGGTGGTATCAGGGGATTGAGGTTGATATGATTTGTTACAGACCTGAGGTGCAGGCTACAATGTGATTGGTTGGAAATTTGGTAATGGGATCTAGCAATGACCCGCTTTCTTCTCTCATGAGACTAAGAAGTGGTCTTTGTTTGAGTTCAGGAGTGAGAAAGTGGCCCAGATTTTTGGACAGCAAACCAGATATCCTGGAGGGGTAGCTTGGTGAAGTAAAGATATCAGGCCTGACTCTTGAATATTCACAAACATTCCATAAAGTTAACAAAATTCCTTAAGGCAAGAATAGATCAGTGATTAGTAGGAGAGGTGGATTTCCAAAATTAATCCATTTCAGGCCAGTTGAATTCTGAACTAAGTTAAGATACAAAGAATTATGACTTGAGCAAT